GCACCTCCAGAAGCAAGGTGCCCAAGCAGCCCCCACACCTTCAGAAGGGCTCCCGGATTCCATGTATTTATCTGAGAAAGAGTCAGATCCTATCACAAACTTCTACACCGTGTAGTTCGAGACTCTGGTCTGCCAAGCTAGCCTCTGGGTACTGGCAACTGCACAGTGCTAACCACATCTGGCAGAACTCACATGGTTCCCACCTGACCTCAGCTCACAAGGTGCTCCCTTCCCGTCACAGCAGTACTGAGAAAACAAAGGCAGAAGCTGGCTGCAGTCTCCTTGCACAGACCTATGCACAGCCCGGCCACAGAAGCCAGAGCAGGAGGGTGACACCTCCCGCTCAGCCCACTGCTGGGCAGCCGGGGTGGGATCTGACCACGGGCTTGGCTTCCCCGTCTGACCTGCGCCTCCATGAGCCATTCTCTGCCTCTGCCCCACAGTCCCCTAGGGTGCACCCTCACCCACTCCCACCCCTACCTTACTGGCTTCTTCTCAAGTCTCTGCAACCCTTGGGAACAAGTCTGGCACCACAAGTGACTGCTGGTGTGGCAGATGTACTCTAAGGTGCCCTCACCCCGGTATCAGCCACAGTCTTGTACAATGGCCTCTCCCTTAAGTCCAAGCGAGGCCTCTGCTTGCTTCTAACAACAGGCCATGCAAGGGTGCTGGGTCATTCCTTGGGTGAGGTGACTGGAAAAGTGGCTACAGTTGAAGAGGACATCCTCCAGACCCCAACTCCACCACCGGTTCCCTGACTGGTATCGGCAGCACCTTTCACGTTCTTCCAGACAACTCAAGCCGAAGGGTAAGTACACACGGAAGGAGCTCTCCTTTAAACTCTCACCAAAGCACGTCACACGCGCCCCTCGCTACTGCTGTCATCTCCGTCTCCCTCTCAGCAACTGCACCGGCCTCTCTCAAGTGTGACCTCGATGTTTCCAACCGCTTCCTGCTTCCTGCCTGCCTGAGGAATGCTTGGACTTCAGTTCCTAATGTCAGCCAGGCTGTGAAGCCTGGGGACAGTCAACTCCTACAAGTGGAGGGCATGGCCACAGGTAATTCTGCCGGACTGGTTTCGAAAAATTCACACTTCCACGGGCAGTGTGACTGTGTCCTCGTCCCCTGGTTGGCCCAGGTGTGACCAAACTGATGCTGTGTTGCAGTGTGGACTCTTGCACTTCTCAGGTCAGCTGAAATTTCCATGGAGAACTTAGATCCAACTTAGATCTCAAAGGACAAGGAGGCTTGTCACAGAGGAAGGAGTCCCAGAAGGGAGGTGAGGACAGGCAGTGCTGGGGACAGAAAAGCACAGGCCATGGACTGTGGCACACCAGTTTGAGGAGAGGGAGGTAAAGGTCAAGTGGCAGCTGGAGGAGCAACAGACATAAAGCAGCACTCTGGCCGGAAGCAACTGAGGAGTGGGCCGAGCACTGGAACGGCCACTTCTGGTGCCGATTCAAATGGGCTTCGGTTTTCTTGCTTGTGAAAGGAAGGGCAAGCCCCAAAGCCAGACTTTCTGCAGCTGCAGGTCTGTGGGCTCAAGGTAAATCGTAGGGTCAAAAGAGGATGGGCGGAACTCCTAGCTCCTCTAGTCACGCTGCCCTGACAGCCCGAGGGCACACCAAGAAGCCACAGCACCAAAGCACAGCTGGAGACCACAGAGTCCTCTCTGGCTCTAAACCCACTCCCACCCAGAGCCAGAGGGGCCTTGGACCTTCGATGGCTCATTCCTTACTACAAGTTAGTTGTACTACGAGTTAGGACAAAGTTAGTAGTACAAATTCCTTCCTCTGAGGAAAGGAAGACGGGAATAAAGTCAGCGTCACGAGTGGGACGACTGCTCCCCACGTGGCCATCCCGTTCATCCTCACGTGCCCCTCTCTGCAGTCCTGCAGCACGGAGGGCCACCTGCAAACCTCATGGCGCTGGGCTCTCACTCACAGTGAGTGAGGCACCACCCTCACCCACCTCTCGAGACACCACCCCAATCTCAGAAAGCTACCAAGGGCTGTGCTGGCTGTGTTGGCTGTGACGATGCTACCCCTTTAGAACTGCAAACACATTTACCTTTCTTTCTTTTCCCAAAATCATGTTCTAGGATTTTCAAGTAACAAAACTACATAAAAAGAACAGATTCAAACGAACAGAGTCAGCAACACTGAATCTGTTGGGTAGACCTGGTGATTGTGATAAAGCGAACCCTCGAACAAATATTAACTAGCCACAGCTAGGCCAATGGGGTGGGGCCTAAGGGGAATGAGGATGGCAGCAACTGTCTGTGCCCAGAGAGGGACAGGTAGGCACAAAAGACAGGGCAGACCAGAGCCCCACCCCAGCCCCTTCTCCCCCCAGCCTCCTGCAGCTCAAGGCTCTGCCCGTCACTCCCTCATTTAAAAACTGTCACAGGGTACCATCACCATCACAAAACTCCTTTCGACCTCTTTTGAGAGCAGGACAATGTGCATCCTGGTTTTTAATGTCTGGTAATCCTACTTGGTATCTGTTACCCTGTCATTCTAAGCACATAGGCAAGAAAGCCACCGTGACCCCCACGTTGACAGCAGCACTGACCCCACAGCCAAGAGGCAGAAGCAGCCAGAACAGCCACTGACAGATGAACGCACAAGCAAAGGACAATGCTATGTTGTGCTATGTTGTCACACAACGCTATGTTATTCAGTCACAGAACGAGATGAGTGCTGACACACATTATAGGACGATGAGCCTCGAAAACATGACACACAGCCTAAGAAAGCCAGACATAGCAGGCCACAGGGTACGATCCACTTTCAGAAATACTCCCAACAGTTAAATCCCAATAGACTACAGAATCATGGTGGTTGCCAGGGCTGGAGTGAGAAGCAGTGGGAAGTGACTGTTGTGTACAGTGTCCTTTTAGGATGATGACAATATTCTGGAACTGGATGCTGGTGCCGGCTGTACCTCACTGGATATGAACTATATGCATTATTGTGTCATAATGAAAAAATGCTATGTAAACCCCAATCGCTCCACAGTGAGTTTGTATGGCCTCCTCTGCAAGCCACACACACACACACACACAGGTGAGCACAGCACCCACACGGCTGGCCGCTGGCCTTCCCCCGGCTGCAGCAGCAGTGGCAGTGGCACAGACGCAGGGGCTCCTGTGTGGCCTGTGGGTAATCGGCGCCTTTTACACCAAGACTGGATGGCCAGTAGATGGTGGAGCCCAAGCTTGAGTCTGAGGCCGATCCAGTGTCAGATTACGTTTCTGAGCCACGTCTCCACTGACTCAGAATACACAGGCCCTACCCGTTCTCTTCCACCACCTGTGCACACAAACACCTCGATCCTCAGTCACCCACAGCCTGCGCCTGCTTGGAGCTCTGCTCCCGCACCATGCAGGCCAGCAGAGCCTTAGTCCCTGAGGGCCACCTGGTGGAGGGCACCCGGGCGCAGGGCCTCTGGAGCTCTTTCCACTGCACTCACACCTGCACACACCTCAAAGCGACAAGAACAAAGAACGAACGGCCTTAGCACCCCCAAAAAAGGCAAAGGTGCCCAGTATTTGGGCAGTGAACAGCACGGTGCAAAACCTTCAAACCTCAAGCTGGGGTCCACTCAGGACAGGAAGCCACCTTGCTTGACCACAGCGCATTTCAAACACCACCAACGTCTAACGCCCTCCCCAGGGCACCCAGCCTGCTGCGCCACGCTGCTCTCGGTGCTGTCACAGTCATGAGCCCAGTTCCTCCAGAAAACTGGCTGACCTGGCACTGACCAACTCACTCACTGCTCCCACGTACTTTTCTTCCTCTCACTTTTCTTTTACACACAGTCAACCAAGCTGGAATACGCAAGAGAAATAAAGGAACAAACCAAACACCATTTGAATGACACTTATTTCTACGGACTAAACCCGCCCTTTGTGATTTCTAAGTTGGAAAAATCCTTAAAATTGAAAAAACTTTCAATCGCAGCCCAATTAAAATTAAGGAACTGCAGGACAAGTGTCCCCGTTTCAGTGTCTACACTTGCAGGCAGGGAAGGGCCCCAGCAGAGTGGGACCAGGCTAGCAGTCACCACTCTCAGCCCCCACCCCAGAGATTTCTGAGAAGAGGCCGGAGACCTCTGTTTTAAAAGGTTTACCTTTAAATTTCAACAGCAACCAGAACTTTCACATTAGGTTATTTCTGTTCAGCCGACAACACTGCTCAAATTCAGAGAACAAGCACTAAAGATAGAAACGGAAGGAGCCACTGAGCACCGAGCTTGACCGTGACAAAACGAGGGGTGTCACTGCTTTTCAACACTCTCACTCTGCATCAGCAAAAGACCCCAGGAGCCCACCGTGGGAAAAGTCCACAAGCATGCCAGCACTTGGCACTTGGTGTAGAAGACAAGAACTGGGCTGTGATTTACACACGTCAGGGACTTAATGTGGCATAGGGAGTCTATGTGCAAGGTAACAGAGGGTCTTTAAAGTAAAAACCCTGAAGGACAAATGTCTCACTTAATAATAATCAAAGGTTACGTTGAGATGTTACACATTGAACACTGTTCACAAATGACTGAAAACTTGTAGCTGTGTTGACTTTCGCTTTCTTTGTTTTGGCGGTACTGGGGTACTGGGGCCTGAGCTCAGGGTCTCCCTCGTGCTAGGCTGGCTAGGCAGGCACTCTCCATGCAAGCCACAGCTCCAGGCCATCTTCTGCTTTCTCAATCACAACTGGGAAGTTCAAGGACTTCTGCTACTTGAGTTCTGAGGAGAACACTTTTGTAAACAATGTTGGATTTTTCAATGAAAACACACCTGCGTATACCAGGGAAGCTGAAATTTCTCAAAGGGATCTTGTACAAAGCAAAACCCGCACAGAAAACCAATCATTTTCTCTTACTCCTGGGGCTCCACTGTGCACAGCAGACTCGGAAGTCTGGGCTCATGCGAGTCCAGCTGTGGAAGTGACCCCGGACGTGAAGGGAGACGTGTTAGAACGCCATCAAGCAGTACATACCGCTGGCTCAACTTGACCCCGATCCGCAATGTCTATGTGGACAATTTCAACCGTTTTCCATGTGTTTGGATCTAAACCGTGAACCTGTGAATGACACAGATAGCGCAGTAAGACACTCCCACGTGTGGCCTTACCCGAGCTGCTCACAGGACATTATGCATAACGAGAAACGCAAACTGCTGCTCTACTAGGCCAGCTGTCTAAAATCCTGTGTTACTCCCTACAGCCCCCAAAATAAGGTGTGGGGTACATGTGAGGACACTGCCGAGTGCAATCTGCTAGCACTGTCTTCTTCACTCAATCTTCAGGAGATGATTCACATAGCGAAGTGTATGTAATTTGTGTTTAACCCAAGTGACAGACAAGCACATCCATGTGACCCAGAAGTCCCAAGCTAGCACAAGGTAACACAGCTAGACTTCTCGATACTGAGTTACCTGGTTCAAACTCCTCCTGGACTTGACAGCCCTGCGGCTGTGCATTTTCACTATGTTATCTCTTCTACTATGTTATTCTATCACTTATTTCTGAAACTCTACAGAGCAATGTGTCTAAAAACTGCCAACAGCTATGCCCACATGGAAGCTGGAGATGGCAGACAAAGTCATACATGGCCTAGGACGCAGCATCTCACACCACTTGGGTGCACAGTGAGTCACTATGGAAACATGCAAATGACCACCTGAAAGAACTCAAGCACTACAGTTAAAGTTCAAAGATGCCATTAATTAGCACTAATAACAAATGAGCAGACTAACAGAGCGTAAGAACAGAATGTACCACAGCCCAGTAGGAGTGCATCCTAAGGTTGGAACAGCACTTTTAGAACAGACTGCTGGGCCCTGGCCTAGACACGGGGATTCCGAAGCTCTGAGTCTGAGTCTGAGGACTTCCCGCTGCGCTGGTCCCAGGACACCCTGCTGACCCCGGGCCTCGATCACTGCTGCTGCTGAGTCCCAACTGGCGTTCTCAGAGCTGCGTTAGGGATACGTGCGCGCCACTCATCACATCTAGGTCAGGAGCTTGTCCCTCCTCCCTCTGGTCATTTCTCTGACATCAACCCATACAGCCCAGCAAAGTAAAGTAGAATAGAAGTGGAACTTAAGCTGTTGGTTCTGCTTTGTCACAGAGAGGCTCTAGAGCTCCCAGCTGGTCAGGTGCCACCACTGCTGACGACCAAGTGATGACACACTTCCGGCGCAGAGTCAGAACTTACGTTTTCTAGTGTTCCCAAGTCTGGCTTGTGCCACGTTTCAATTTTGATGAAGAAATCATCTTTCATATATTCATTCTGCAGAACACAACAGAAGATGACAGTGACCCGTGCCAGCCCCGCGGGGACAGTCGTCACCATGGACTCTTACGGACTCACCCATAAGGCACTCCAAATACTGGGTGCTTTTAAGTACTTTAAGCATGGGTAATAAAGAAGTCATGCACTTTGGAGAGCAAATGTGAGGTCAAAGAGTGTAGCGAAAGCAAGCTAAAACCAAGAGGGAGGTTTGGAGGCAAGGCTGGGAAGAGCCCATTCACCCAGGAAGTGCGGAGGGACGTGGGCTGGTGGGGGCACACAGAGAAGTCACGCAGTGAGGGAGCTTGAATTACAAAAGCCAAGAGTGGTCGGAAAGAATTACTGCGCAAACAAAGTCGAAAGACAAAGAGCTGTGACACAAAAGTAGATTTCACTCACCGTCACAACTGGGGCATCAGGGAGAAGCAGGTCATAAAAGAGGAAAAAACACAGATTAACTGGAGTCAAAACAATCTGTCCCAATATTTTATCTTGCTACACTACATGAAAACACGTTAAGCTTGGTAGCTTAACGTCCTAAAAAGTTTCCAAGTGACTGACACACGGATCTATAACTCAGGTCAGAGCACCATCTAACTGTAAAGCAATGCGAACAAGAACAATACAAACGAAAGCATTATTTCCCCTATCATGTGGCAATGTACATGGTGGTGACAATTCACAAAGTGCACTTGTAAGTGAGGAGGACCTCCATGAGTCTGTACTCATTTGCTTGCGCTGGAGCCACAGGTAGCAGGTCCCCACATGGCCGCTGTCATCTGCACTCGGCACAAAGGTCTGGGGAGGACCCACAGAAGCCTGGCTTGGTATCCCTTCCCAAAGTCCTCAGCCCCGGCAGTGGGAGGGTGGGGGCAAGGCGGAAGTGGCAGGCGCTGGGGACCCGGCTTACTTGTTCTGCAGTAGGGGTACGCGTTCCAGGCTTTCTCGTGAAACACCAGGGAGCCTTCGGGAGCGATCATCCTCACGAACGCAGGAACTTTGCTGCGAGGAGACAGGGCGGACACATTTTCAGCTGCACTACCAATTTCTGTTGGGATCATTCACAGAATAGTGTTACCAAACTGATCATGCTCCAAGCTTGATGAGACGGTATTCAGACTGCAATCAACAGTTTACTGCAACCCCCAAGAACTCAGGCAGGAGATAACAAAAAACAAACAGCAAAAAGAATGCGAAACCTGAGCTGTAAAGACGGTGTCTTGGCTGGCTTTTAGGCAGGAGCAACTCTCCCTAGTGCACGTGATGGGCTGCCCTGGTATGAAATCCGTGCCCTCTCACGGAGGTGGCTCTGAACCACTTGACAATGGAAAAATCCCAGAGTAAAGAAACACTGCTAAGTACGTCACTAACACACCATCCAGAACTGTGCCAACGGGAGCACTGTGCAGAAACTGAGATGCTAAAGACAGGAATATAAAGTTCTCAGAGTAACAGACGACTGTCACTCACTGCCACAAGTATGGGCTGAATACATGATTCACAGCCATGACCACGGGCAAATCATACCAACCAGGAGCAATCCCAGAAGGCAAACTAGCCCAGCGGGCGAAGGTGCCACCACACGTTGCAAGTGTACCGACCACTCAAGAGCAGGCAGTCTGCAAGAGACACAAACACCATGACCGACCAGAGCCTCCCATAAAGAGCACACAGGGATTGCGTGCTGGACTCAAATCCCAGTGTCCCCACTCAGACGCCATGTGACCCTGGGCCCCTGACTTGGCTTCCATGCGTTTCCTCATGCGTGTAATGGAGTCGTTCACACTACCTACTCTGTTACTGGGAAGACTAAACCGGGGACGTCTGTGGTGGCTTTGGTGTGATTTTGAACACTAAGCCAGTGTGGAGCCAGGCTCTTTCACCTGCCTCTCCTCATTTAAAGCTCCAGTAGCGTCTCAGATAACCATCACTGAAGCGGCTAAATGACTCTCCTAGCTTCCTGGCTGCTTCTGTGAGGGCGTCCTCTGCTGAACCTCCTTTGGAGGCAAGGCAAGGCAGGTGGCAGGGAGCCTCACACCAGCCAGGGAGCTGTGAGCAACAGAAACTGAAGAGGGGATGCGCGCACACGTGAGAACAGGGACAGAGCTTGGGGACTTCACTTTTCTGGCAAATTACATCACAGGAAAAGAAAGGCCACAGCACTGTTACAGAGGGCGGGGCTCAGGGGGGTTTGCACACGCCTCCGCCTCACATCCCTCAAAGATGATGGAGCCAATTCTCTCAACTCTTACTCCTTTCAAATTCAAGCAAAAGTCAGAAATAGGAAGACAGCATAGCTAAAACAGTAATACCTAGTACAAACCACCCGACACTGCTAAGAACTAGAATCCACAGCCCTCTAACTCCAGGTGGAGCAGAACCAAGGTGTGATGTCCCACATAACTGAAGATGGGCTCCAAGACTCCTGATGCAACTGGAGTGCAGCAAACACCTGTCCAAGTGCAGCTGGTCGGCTAAAAAAAGACAGGCAAGGGCAGGAGGCGCGACTCAAACTGTACAGAGCCTGCCTAGCAAGTGTGAAGTCCTGAGTTCAAAACCCAGCACCACAAAGAAAAAGCAAAGAAAAGAAAAAAAGAAAGAGAAGGCAGTCAAGACAGCCATGGATCGATCAGAAGCCATTTATCATACAGTACCGAGAGCGAAAAGCTCCAATATTCATAAAATGGTCTAAAATGTGTTGGTTCAGATAGAAAACAGACAGACAGACAAAGACTGTCTGTCATTAAAGTCTGACAAGAAGCCAATGTACAGGGCGTTGTCATCTTGGCTGCCGATCTTATCCCCACTTTCCCCACCCAGTGAATCCCACCGAGCTTTGTCCTGACTCACTTAATGCTGTCCCAATCTTCGTACTGGCTGTTCCAAATGAGTTGTCTTTTTACACCAACGTGAGAACACAGACAAACAGCTCTCTGATCGATCTAAGAACTGACTAAACTTGGGAAGGTGCATAGGGGTGTGAATGGAGTTCAGAGGAGAGAAACTATCCCAATGTGACCCTAACACAGCCCTAACTCTCCTGGTGACCACTTTTCAGCGCACATGAACAGTCCAGAGCGCAGACTTCATCCTTCCACCTCAGCATTATTTAGGAAGTCACTTGAATCAAATGCAGGAAACGCCATTTTGGAAGTTTAGGGAGCTCAGGAAATGGAACAAGTAAGTATGAATTTGCAAAACAGAGCCTGGACACAGCACAGGAAGGACGCCCCTCCTCCTGCTCCCTCCTGAACTCTGCAGATCATGGTGCTCTCCCTAAACCAGTTCTCCTTGCAGGGCTTGCCATGGGCAACCTGTCCAGACCTCAGTGGCTTTAGTGAGTAACCCATGGAGGAGACCCAAGAGCAGGAAGGTTCTTTGACAATACAGTCATGGCCAAGTATCACATCTGTAATCCCAGCTACCTGGGAGTCAGAAAGAGGAAGGTAACAGTTTAACACCAGGCCAAGTGGAAGTTAGAGACCCCATCTAAACAAACAAGTTGGACTGGTGGTGTGTGCCCGTAATACCACCTTAGCAGGAGGCCAGGAAGATCAAGATCAGAGGACAGAGCCAGGCAAAAAAAAAAGTGAGACCCTATCCAAAAACTAAAGCAAAATGGAACTGGGGTGTGGCTCAAGTGGCAGAGCACTTGTCTAGCAATCACCAGGCACTGAGTTCAAACCAAAGTGCTGCCAAAACAAACAAAACACCTTTTTCCAACCTGCTTCCTAATGCACTCTAAGAATATCGTCCCTCCAGTGAGGCATGGTGGCTCAAGCCTGTGCCTGCTTGGGAGGCAGAGATTGGGAGGACACAGTTCAAGGCCAACCTGGGCAAAATGTCTAAGACACACCATCTCGACCAATAAAAAGCTGGGCATGTGGTGCATGCCTGACATCCCAGCTAGCAGAAGTGTAAGCTGGAGAACAGCTGTCCAGGCCGACCCAGGCTTAAAGCAAAACCCTATCTCCAAAATAACTAAAGCAACAAGGGCTGGGTTGTGGCTCAAGAGGTAGAGTGCCAGCTTAGCAAGCACAAGGTCCCAAGTTCAAACCCCAGTGCCTCCACCTTCTCCCCCAGTCCCAAACAATCTACGCTGGGGTAAAATTCCACCAGTGTTCGATCCAGCTGTGTGGAGGGAAGGTAATACTCTGCTCTCACCTTAACGTGACAGTACCTGTGAACCTGCTTGTTTCCAGCACGGCGACTCTGTCAAGGCAGGGGAGGAAAAGAAAGGGCTCGCATGCCTTAGAAAACACAATGACCAAGTGCACGCAGCTTCTTACCCGGAAGCACGCCTTTTGTTAACGTCCACTTGTGAGATTAGTAATACCTCAGCAAGATGTCCGGCAGACTTGTTGTTTTGTGGTGCTGGGAAGGAACCCTCAGGCCGCACTCTATCACTGAGTTCCATCCCAGTCCCTGGCACGTCACTTCAACCCGCATTTTTCTCTTGAAACCTTCATGGCTATCTGTGCCCACGACAAGCAAAGCTGTTTCAAGTTCCACCTTGCCCATCCTGTGTGGGTGAGTATCGAAATGTGGGAAGTAGGGAAGATTAATTTGCCATAAATAAAGCGATCAGTCTTTCACTTTGTAATCAAGTGCTAGACACCCTGAGTACGCTGACAGGTCTGCTCACTTACTCACGCAAGTAAGTACTGGGTGCCAGCCCCTGTGCCAGGGCTGTGGGAGTGATGACCAGGCAGGGACACTTCCTCCCCAGAAGAAGGTAACTTCTAGGGAGAGAAATAACAAAAGGCAGGAGGATCCTGACCTGTCCTGCAGGGCAGTGCAGCTAAGGAGCAGTATGGGGCCAGCAGGGGACAGCGTGGCCACAGGTGCTGTGACAGCAAGACCTGACTACAATGACAGAGGACAGCAAGCCAAGGCTACTAGCGAGTGGGGAGTGGGCAGACACCACACAGGACCTGCCCCGCCTATGGACCAGTTTGGCTTTTGTTCTGTGTGTGATGTAACGGGGGAATGACGCAACCTGGCCTAAGTTTTCATATCACACTGGCTTTGTTGGAAAGTCAACTGGAGAGGGTAAGAATGTTAATGCAAATGTTAACTCAAGATGACAAAGTTCCGAATATGAAAATTAAGACTATAAAATTCTCAGATGAAAGCACAGAGGTGATCCTTATGACCTAGGAGTAAGTGGTTTGTTAGTCGGGACGCCAATAGGATAAACAATAAAAGGGAAAATGGTAAACGGGCTTCATCAAAATTCTAATTCTTAAGCTTCAAAAGACAGACAAAAGAGTGAAAAGTAGCCAGAATATATAAACAGCACTCTCAACTGAAAAAACTCCATTCAAAATGGGTGAGGCAGAGGAGGACAATGAGTCCTAAGCCAGCCAAGGCTACACAGCAAACTCTAACTCAAAACAAACAGGTGAAGTATGGGAGTGGATCCTTCTCCAAACACATACGAGTGACAAAAGAGCACACAAGATGCCGCGTCACTAATCATGAGGGAAATGCCACTGGAAACCTCAATTCAGGGCTACACACACACAGGACAGGTGGCAGCACGTGTGTGTGTGCGGGAACTCTCCCAGGTGAGCTACGTGACTGAGGGGAAACGAGCATCCTCATGTCTGTGTGTCCAGCATGTTCACGCCTGTTTCTCAGGACTGTTAGGCAGGGTCCGTGAGTGCGTGGACGGGACAAAGCCAGGGAGTACTGCGGGATGGTTTCAGTCCTTCTGGGAACGAAGACCCTGCTCCAGAAGCACCAGCGTGCTGAAGGCGGCTGCCTGGATCCAGAGCCAACGCTGCCCTGTATTCGCCCACTAGAAGCCGGGAGAACTCAGGACCTCCCGGCCAACAGGCTGAGTGACAGTACCTGGTGCAGTGGTCAGTCATTATCTGTGGCTGGAGTGTCACCTAAGTCAGGTGTCTCAAAAACGCAACTGAACAGTCTTCCTCTTTAAACAAAACTCACCCACATCCCAGCATCAAGTGATAAATATTCTTAACATTTCAGTGAGTCTCTTTCTAGGCTTTTTGCTGACTAGTTTTTGTTTTCTAGACACAAAACACATTACACATATTATTTAGCAGCCAACCTATTCCATGTAACAATATATCAAACTTTCCCCAATATTTGAACTTTTTGATTTCAATTAGAGGATCTTGTGAATATATTGCCAATTTACTCACACATGAAGAGTGGTCAAAGAAGATCATGAACCACAGAAAATCTCATACTCAAACTTTTTGGTTCATTTTAGAATTCCCAGACAGAGACCAATGTTTATAATAAGAGGGACTTCTGTGTGTTGGGAGCCCCCATCTCAACCAATAGCTAGGCTAAGCCAGGCACCCATGGCTTCTGCCTGTAATCTAAGCTGCTTGGAAGGCAGGTGCTCTACCACTCGGGCCATTCTGCCAGCCCTATCCCAGCTACTTGGAGGCTGAGATTGGGAGGACTGTGGTTCCAGGTCAGCCAGAGCAGAATGGGCAGGAGGTGTGGCTAAAGCCATAGAGTGCCTGCTTTGCAAGCGTGAAGCCCTGAGTTCAAACCCCAGTCCCAAGAACAACAAAAAAATAGTTGGGCATGGTGGCGCACATGCCATCCCAAGCTGAGATCTGATGGACTGGGGTTGCAGGCTAGCTCCAGGAAAAAGTTTATGAGACCGCATTTGAATGGAGAAAAGGCTGGGTGTGTGGTGCATGCCTGTCATTCAATAATGGTGGAAAGCTTAAGCTGGCCTACGCAAAGTGGGACCCCCATCTACAAAACAACCAGACTGCAAAGGACTGGAAGTGTGGCTCAAGTGGCAGAGGTCCTGCCTCACGAGCTTAAAGTCCTGAGTTCAAACTCCAGTACTGCCAAAAAACTTAAAGAGAGCTAAGTACACATAAAGAAACCCAGCACTGTCACTACTAGATATTACATAGAAAGACAGCACTGAGGTAATCAAGTGACCAATTACTGTCTGTTATTTCTCATCAAACCACAAAACAAGCAAAGAACAATGCATTTTACCAGAAGACTACAAAATTTAAGGTGTGTACGAATATTTGTGTATCACATAAACCAAGCAGCAGAGTTAAACTTCGAACAAATGAAAACTCCCAATCATAGCTCAGGTTCACCTTGAGCTCTCCAGCACATGTTCGACCTCCTCTAACACAAGGAGAGAGGTGACTACAGTGCTGAGTCCCTCCAAAACGCGAGTCTTAAAACCATTACTGGTCTGTGCTCTTAGACAAGTAATGGTATGCACGTCCTACTATAAAATATTTAAGGCAAACAAAGAGATCAGACTGCCAAACTTAGGGGAATGCGCCGAAGTTTGACAGATTAAAAAAAGCAACAACGAGAAAGCATCGGTCAGCTCTAAAAGCCATTCCACCGGACCAATGAAGAAATACAAATCCAAGCAAGCCAGTATCTTCTGCTTATGAAAGTGGCAAAAACTACAGAGGAACCTCCATAAAATCCTACGAGGGCATGTGGGCAGTGACATCTCACTCTAAAATGGGTCCATCCTCGTCCTTGTCCTCCCAGCAAAACTGCGTTCATGACTTCCTCTAAGAGGAACATTTATCTGAGGCATGAGGCTTGGAGAACCAAGTTCACGAAAACAGTTTGTAACAGACAAACACTACAAAATACCTAAACTGTGTAAACATACCTATCAGGGAATGGCTAAGTAACTGCTGTGCCATATAAGAATTTTACTCAGCCTTAAAAAGAATTACATAGATACTAAATAAAAACAGGGACACTGTTCTGATATATTGTTACATGAGAAACACAGCAGAAAACTAAAAATGTTGCAAGTGACATTTCCCTCATGTGTTTATTTTTAAAAATATCTCTGGAAAATGATCTGGAAGGAAAAACCATAAACTGTTTGTAGGGCTTCTCTTCTCTGTGGTTACGGGTATTTGATGAGGACCTTAGTGCCGACCAAGGTTTTACTTCAGCCTTCATCCCTTGCTTGACCTTTTGTTATAAGCAGATATATTTGAAACATGTATGACATCAAACACATTGTCACCATCAAATAAGAAATGGCTCACTAGTAAAACAGGTAGCTACCCACTTTGTGGCAAGTTAGGCAGTTCCCGCGTAGCTCAGGTACAGGCTCTCACTTACCTCTTCAGGTGGTAAATTTTGTGTGTGTACTGCCCTTTTTCTCCGTCCTTCTCGTAAGGCTCATTCTTTAGGACCTCGATTCCTTCTCCACCACCAGTCTCATTCTTACTAGCTTCTGCTACAGAGTAAAGCTGTCCAACCTGATACTGAAAGTTCAAAGAGCACAGAATTTCACCATGTCAGAGAAGATACAGAAATGCGTATCAAACTATCCCCACATGTTCAATATGAAGACATGACTCAGATTAGAAATTAGTATGCCTACAAAGATAAGGACCAGACACATGCTTGCACTGCTCAAGGATTCCCATTATTCAAAAAAGGTGCCAGTTACTGTTACTTTAATATACACACCCATTTATCAGGAAAATCTCTTGACATTTGGTTCAACCTTTGAACTACATACATTTGTGCTTTCTGAAGCATTTTCACTTCTATTATAGCTCACTTAATACCACAAGATTCTGAGGACTGCATGGCAGGCCTGTAATCGTCACTTTGCCAATCAAAACTGAACCATCACGATTCTGTTCTCAGTAACAAAGAGAAGGATAGAAAATGTGATGAAGCAGAGCCTGAAGACCCAAAGAACCATGACGGTGCAAATTCTGGTGGAAGTCTGGGGCTTTTTTTCTTGTGTGACATGCCCAATTTGGCCCCTGCTCAGCTAAACAGAAGCTGAGCAGGGGCCCGGGTCAGAAATTTTAAACAGAGCTCTTCAGTAAACACAAACAGCTTTGAAGAATAAGCCATGTACGAGCATTACCATAAAAGGCAGGAAATGGTGAGGGCAGTTTCTATTTCATTTGAAGTGAACCCGAATTCTCAGTGGTCTGCATCAACACCCCTGGCCACCAACAGCTCCAACAACTGGGGAAAAGCCATGTTCCTCCAGGCCACCTGTTCCCGTGACCAAGCCGTGGTACCATTGCCAACCCCTCAAATCTGACTACACTTCTTCCTCCCAGGGAAGGCAACCTCAGGAAGCATCGTGTGTTTTCAATAGAAAGGCACAAAAATCTACCTCCAAGAACTCATTCGAAACTCACATTTTACTTGAGAGGAAAAAACATGAGCCACTGTAGCTCAGGAAACACTAGCTAAAGAGCTCATGGAGATGGGCTATCGTGCAGGTGAGCTTGTTATGACGCACACACTCTTACTCCATCAGCAGGGCTTAGGGAGCTGCAATCACAGCTTTCTCAAGTGTCTACAGAGATGTTACACTGCAGAAGGGGCTATGTCTGCTTTTGGTGACACAGGACTACGGTCATTCTAGTAATGCCACAATCCTTTAGTGCCTCAAAATATAGTTTTCGGGCTAGTGGAGTGGCTCAAGTGATAGAGTGCCAGCCTAACAAACATGAGGCCCTGGGTTCAAACCCCAATGTGGTCAAGGAAAAAAAAAAAATACAGTTTTCAATACTGTCATATTTAAGAGCAGGATTAGACATCGCTAAACCAAAAGGTAAACTTGGTCTTGTTCGGGAACACAGTAATGAAAATTCGTAACAAAACCAACTAAACAACCACATCCAAACCAAACAAATGGACTGATTATTTGTGGCACGTGCTTCTAGATAGAGACAAGAGGTGTGCTTATTAAACCTGAGCAGAAGAAAAAGCTGAGATTACTTTGGGTGATAATACCAAGACTCAGAAAAATTTCAACAAGTTGATTCAGCCAAGTGAAACCCAAAGGGGAAAAAACCTAACCAAAACAAATGTCAAGTTCCACATCTGAGGTTCAAACAATCAATTGTGCAAATAAAGAACAGGGGTGCCTGGCTTGTCTCGAGCGTGGTGTAATAGTGAAATCCCAGGTACTACTGAGATCCTCCAGCTGTGTTGCAGTCCCACTAAACAGTGCCAGGCAGCTATGCCTTTTCAGTTCCTGCAGGTTTTCTATCTCCTGTCAGCTGCCACTTCTTTGCTTATCAGTTTGTTTTGTCCCACTTCCAACTCCTGCTTCCAATCTACTGTCAGCTCCGGGAAGAGCAGGGGCTGAGCAAGCCAGAGGACTCAGAGTGCTTCAGTCAGGAGTTGTGCTACTCCCGAGGCTTTTCTGCTTTTGCCTCATTTGTGACTATCGTACAGGAGCTCAACTGCAAGTCATGAGCACTCTACAGTTGCTCTTGTCTACACCGCAGGCAGATCAGGGAGGACAGCAAGCTCTCACAGCAGGCATAGTCAGACCACCTGTGGAACACAGACCATGTCTGTACGTCTGGAATACTGCTTTCGGCTCAAAGCAACAAGTACAGTACATGCAGTAAGGAGAGCAGCTGGTGACAAGTCTAGAGGTCATGTTCTAATAGGAACAAAAGGGGCTGGGGTGGGGCCCAAGTGGTAGAGCACCTGCCCAGCATGCAAGTTCGCAAGTTCGAGGCCCTGAGCTCAAACTCCAGTGCTGCCAATAAATAAATAAACAGCTAAATAATAAAAAAAGAAACTGGAACAAAAGGTCTTGGGCACAGTAAGACTGCAGAGCTTCCACCAGAAAACCTGAAGGGCCACCAGAGGCAGGAAAGAGCAGGCTAATTCCCTTCCCAGTGCTCACGTGGGATGAACTGTAGTACAGGAAACTGGATTTGGGTTCAAGTAAAGACAAGGGGAAAGGAGGCTGGGCTCCACGCACAGAGCTACTCAGCAGACCTGAGGCTGGGCCCATGTCCCGGGACGGCACGGGGACAGAGGGAAGCCCTGCACCAGCTGAGCCAAGGTCTTTAGGCTCCCATTATGGCTACAAGGCAGTGTAACAAACTCACGATGGGTTATCTATGCGTGCAGGAGTGAGAAGTAAAGGAGGCCCCGGGTTTGACCCCAGCCTCGCAAGGGTGAAAAAGAGAATGAATTCTATGCAAATAGAGTTCAGATGTGAACACATTCAAAGTAAATTATACCAATATGATGAGACTTACCTCCTGCACAGAACATGGTAAAACCACACGGCTGGAAAACAAAAGAGAAAGAGCACACGTCACATGTGGAACGGCTTCAGGAGAGGGCTCTAGACTTAAGGGCAGGCACTTTGCTTTAAATCCAATGATGCCACACACAGGCAATGTCCCCAAAGAATGTCATTTGTGGAAGAGGGTCTCTGAAATGCCTGCAACCCTAAGTGAGGGTTTCTAGCTGCAGAAATCAGACAGCGCTCCTGGACCCTGGTGAGCGTTTACTTAGCTGACTGTCCTCACTGTACCATGACCCTAAAGACGCAGCTGCAGCAATTCTCATGAGGAGTAAAGAAACATGAGAACCTCGCCCTTGAAAATTGCAGGGTACACAGGGTGTCAGTGGAGGCTGCCGGGCCAGGCTGCCCACTCACCATCTATAAAGCCTGCACTTGGTGCTTTTAACACTTCTCACCAACACACACTGTGAAGTTCATCACTGAATCTTCCAGGAATGGCTCCTCACTACCCAGTCACGCTTAGTAAGGTAAAAACAAGTCTCGACTCCTTCATGACAAGTAAGAAAACCTGAGGAAACTGCTCTGAGCCTCACACAAGCGCCTCTTCCAGGGCAAAGAAACCTAAGGTTGCTATGCGTGGCCCTGTCCAAAGGCCGTCACAGCTCCATTTACCTAAATCACAGCACTCTAGAAGAATCCAAAATGTACTCGGATGGTGTGTTTTACACCAGGTTTTTACAGGAATACAGACAACCCATTTCCACCTTTACTCCCACTGCAAGCCCCAAAAGCCAAGGCCATCCTTAAGCCAACTGCCTCATGATCATAGCTCGGGTCCCAGGCAGCAGCCTCCTTAACCCCCAGTTCTTCTTAGACTTTTATAGCAAGGGGAAAAGCAAACAAACTCCTGTCATGTAGAAATTCCCACTAGCTCCAGTCATTCCAATTTCTTCACAACCAATGCTTCTTACTCTCAAGTCACTTAGTTTACTACTTAGAACAGTGACAATCTTATCAATGGAGACACTCACGTTAATTCTTTCTTATATAAAACTATAAAATTAAGAGAGTGGTCTGGGTCTGTGGCTCTAGAGCACTTGCCTAGCAATCAGGAGAACCTGACTTTTATTCCCAGCACCACCAAAAAAAAAAAAAAAAAAAAACCTCAGCAAAATTAGAGGACAATAGAACCCAGAATATTACGTCTACTTTTCACTCTAACGGCTCTTTCTACCTCCTCTGTGTCCTCCTCAAACACTTGTGTGTTCGCATAACCTAAATCCCAATGCCCAAAACCTGTCTCCTGTTTTCCCAACTCCCTGATTATCAGCCATCATTCATCACTCTTCCTCCTGATGATGATGATGGCCTGAAAACCATGAGCACACTCCCAGTCAGAACGGTAAGTGCTCTTCTCACCAAGAGCAAACTTGTGTGCCTCTGTGACAGGAAGTCCCTCATCGTCTCACTGCCCCTCGGGGTGCACACTGACCTGCAAGCAGCCCCAGTACACAGGCAGAGCTGGAGGAGGGGAGGCTACAAGACATAGGATGGGCATATTTTCAGGCCTGGAACACTATAGTAGAACTTAAGTTAACTAGGCCAGAAGGAATCCTGGAAGGCTGTTCCAAGACATGAAGGCTGGGGGCGTGACTCCAGTGGTAGAACACCAGCCTAGCAAGTGTGAGGCCCTGAGTTCAAACCGTATGCCACCAAAACAAAAATAATAAAATTAAATGTTGCTCCCAGGCATAAGTGACTAAGTACAGCTGACCTGAAGTCATCTCAGGGGATGTTCTTCAGGATTATGAAGGCTGAACCAAGACTGCAAGTGTGAGGAAGAGAACAGAGAGGAAAGAAGCTTCCTTCAGGTTTCACAAAACCAAAGAATCGCAGGTGAATAATTTAACAGATACTCACTAGAAGGAAGATCCCTGTTTTTTGCTTAACACTTTCAGAGAAAATTCCTCATGAAATGAAAGTGATTAAGACATTGAGAAAAAAGAGACAAGATTTGCGTAGTGTGAAGTGCACGGGAAAAGGACCAGGTTTTGGTTTCCTGTTACCATTCCAAAAGAATTCAACTTTTAGAGTAATTTCAAGATTTACAAATGTCTCTGAAACCCCCCCCCCCATGAAAATAGCTTGCCAAACAGAACCAGCAACACATTCTTTAAAACCAGGATTTTACACTAATGGCAAGTTTATCCACTGCTTAAGTGATAACTAGAAGGGAACCTGCCCACCTTGAAAGACATTTTTAACTTTTTAATTGTTATCAAAAATAATCTCAACCCTATAATCACAGCCACTTGCGACTCAGAGATTGGGAGGATTATGGTTCAAGGCCAGCCTGAGTACAAAGTCCAGAAGACCCAACCTCAACCAATAAAAACAGCGGGGCATGGAGGCTCTACCGTCATCCCCGCTACATGGGGAAGCATAAAGAAGAGGGCCTGGGTCAAGGCTGGGCCAGGAGTAGAGCAAGACCCCATCTCAAAAATACCTACAGCAAAAAGGGCTACGGTTTTGGCTTATGTGGGAGAGCGCCAGCCTAGCAAGTGCAAGGCCCCAAATTCAAACCTCAGTACTGCCCCCGCCAAAAAAGATGGAATAATAATGACCTATTTGCTGCTCCAGAGCAAAATCAATTTTAGAACGTTTACTGGAAGAATCATTTTTCATTCAAGAGCACTGAGAACTCACTATGTGAGATCAGGTGCTGAGAGCACTTAAGTAAGAAACAGATTCTCAGAGAGGGAAAAAAATCTAGGTGACATACACACATGAGGAGTAAGTATTAAGAAACTCAACGTACAACACTTTAGGGAAGATAATTAAATTCTGGCACAGTTCACATTTGTTCTCCCAGCACAAAAGGTCTGCCAAAAGCGGAGCGTGTGATTCCCAATGGAAGTGCTTTCCACGAGCTAGCCTGGCACAACTCCTGAGCACTTAATTCACATTCTGGAGGAAGTAACTCTAATAAAAGAAAAATGACTGCGTATCTGACCCGAAATCTCTGCCACTCTCTGGCTACGAGGCTTGGGACAAGTCAATTTTCTGTGGTCCTACATTGTCCATCTGTCTTATCTGCCACTACGTACGTCGGACAGATGCTAAAGCAACATACATAGTTATAAATGACCTCGAAGAAAAATCTTATACAAACCCAAAGTTTTAGTACTATAAATGAACTTTGACTGTAAACCTTCTATGGCCAAAGACAAAAGCGTCTTTTCCTGAGATCCCTGTCACTGAGGAAGGTTTTGATTTTTCATCAGTTTCAATGAACAAATGTTTCTAGAGCACCTCCTCAGTGCTATGATCTACTCTAAAGAATGGAAGTACAAGTGACCAAAACAGGCAAGCTCATGGGGATCACAGGGAGTAAGAGAACAGAAATTCCCTGCAATGGTGACACTTGAGTAAAGACCTGGAAGGAGGTGACTTAGAGCTGAGAGACCAGCACTTCAAGCATAAGAAACAAAAGCCAACAACAAGGCCTGCATCGGGTGTGTCTGCACAACACTGAAGGAACAGCCGGGATTTTGAAATGGGCAAGGGAAAAAGAAAGTGAGAAAGACCAGAGCAAAAAGCCATGGAGGGCCTGGCGGGCTGCTAGACACTCTCCCACCTTTATTCTCCGTAGATAGGAAGTCTTTGCATTATTTAAAGGAAAAAAAAAAAGACATGAGTGATTTTTGAAAGGTTTGGCAGATAACACTAAAAACAGGGTTCTGGACACTGCTACTTTAATCCAATTTTTTTTTTTTTTCTGTTTAAGAGTTTGGGAAGGGGAGAAGAAACAAAAACAGCCACGAAACAAAGAATGGGCCACACTGGAAACCCCTCACTGCCCAAGGTTGCTAAGAAAGGCCCAGGTGAAACAGCTGAACGTTCACGGTCACCCAGGTTTCCGGCGATGTCCAAGGTCCCTGGCTGGGGGAAATGACACAACTTTCCAACAAAATCACTTGGCCAGTCTGATGCCCTGCAAAGCCCTCCATTCGACAGTCCATGCTCCTCTCAGCCCCGTGAAGGTGGGGCCCAGACTGTCGCCCCATCTTAAAGACACAAGAGTCGTGGGAGGGACAACAGTGAGGCGGCTCTCCTGTCAAGTCAACCCGGCCGCCGCGGCTTTTCGGGGCTCCCGGCTCTGGCACCAACTTCGGGGGAGCCGACATCCCAGCACCGGGGTTTCCTGCACCCCGGGGACAATGCCAACCCCAGACTCCACCCCAGGCGACAAATCACAGCCCCATCACCGCGTCTCCCTCACCCCGGGGCTGCCGTTCCGTCCCGCCCGCGGGGACCCGGACCCGGAATGGGGGTGGGGGGCTGGAGAAAAGGCGGGTCACGGCGGAAACTCCCGGCCGGCCGCGCCTTTCCGAGCCACGCGGCGAGCGCCGCGGGGCAAAGGGCGGCCTCGTTACCCCGGCAACGCCTGAGGGTAGGGGGCGCGCAATGAAGGCCGGTCGGGTGGGCCGGGGGCTTGAGCCGGCGGGGGAAAGGGGCGCTGGCAGGAAGAGACCCGCCCGCGGCTCGCTCCATCTTACAAATATTCCCCCACCTCCTGAATCAATAAGTCTCCCACCACCGCCGTCCTAGATCCTCGCTCGTGCCCCCCAACCCACTCACAATTCCTTAATCAGCACCATCTTCCCGGAACCCCCTCACAGCTGCCGCCGCCGCCGCTACCGCCTCTCCCGGCGCATGCGCGGCCCCGCCCCTTTACCCCTCGAAACTCCCCAGTGCGCGTGCGTATCTTCACCCTTCCGCCGCGTTTCGTTACGTCAGCATTATCCCCGCCCACTTCTACGCCCCATTCCGGGCGCACGAAGCTCCCACTGCGCCTGCGCGACCCGTTGGCGGAAGTCACGGGGCGCGTGCTGCGCCTGCGCAGAGCCCGAGCGCGCAAGCCCGTCAGCTTCCGGCGGCTCTTTCTTCCACTGCCTCGGTCCCTCGGGGCGCCTGTGCAGCCTACGCTTTCCGGTGGCTTTTCCAGTTTTCCCTGGAAGGCGTAAGGTGGTGGCTGTGGCTGTGCTGTCCGTCTCTGCTGCGAAGGGAGGCCCTCGTTCTTCACCGACCGCCGCTTGCGAAGCGTGCGTTGGAGAACTGACGCTTTTGCGAGCCGCCGGCGCCAGGTTGTCAGCCCAGCCTGGACAGGAGGACGTCCCAGAAAGCCAGGACCTGTTTCTCAGCCTGGTGTCTTCAGTGCCTTGGTCTGACCTTCAGATCGCAGCCCAGACATCGTTGCACACGAGGGACCCGTTGGAGTTAATGCAGTTCTCCCAGCTTTGTAGGACATGATTGGTCCTTGACGGCTAGTCTTGGCGTAAAGACCTTGTGATGGTGGATTTTAAGGCAAACCAAAAGATGTATGAACGCAGGCAGTGTGTGTGAGCAGCACAGGTTGTTAAAACGGATCTAGATGGTCGTGGTGGCTCCCGCCTGTAATCCCAGCTACCTGGAGGCTGACATAGGGAGGGTTATAGCTCGAGGCCAGTCCTGGCAAATACTTCACAAGACCCCCGTCTCCAAAGTAACCAGAGCAAAAGGGACCTCAGATGTTGTTGAAATGATGGTGTGAAGCTCTTGAGTTCAAACTCCAGTTCCACAAAAAAGCCAAAAACTTGCTCTGGTCAAACAAATTTAAATGGTCCTTTAAATACTATGTAATTGACCTTAGGTCCTTCTCACCCCAAAATAATAGGGCCTGGTATCCAAAGGCCTTTTGGTGGGCTCCCAGGGAATTTGGGAACCTCTGGAATTGTGTAACTGCGTGTGGGTCTCATTTTGGGGGGGGACTGGTCTGTAGCTTTACCTTGTTGACTCTGCATTTTGCCATCCCAGTTTTTCCCCCTTCTCCCCATTCCAGAGTGATCTTGATTAAGACTATTCCCAAGGAAACTAGAATTACTCCCAAGAACGTTAAACACCTCAGTGGGAAAGACAGGCTTGGATTTGGTAGTGGAAAGACGTCCTGTTCCTTCAGCAAATGATGGTCTCAGCTTGCATGTCTAAAAAGGAAACTACTGGTACCTACCATAAATTTCCTTCAAGGAATAAGAAGAGATAGGAAGGGGTTAGGATGGAGCTCGGGTAGAGCATTTGCCTAGCATGTTGTCAGGGCCTGAGTTCAATCCCAAGTAAGGCAAAAAAAAAAAAACCCCGATATGAATTATATATAAAAATAAACCTGTATTGCACATTACCTGATGTATCATAGGTGTTCAGTGAATAAGAACCATCTTAAAGCTTCCAGAGAGCAGATTACACCTGTAAACCTAGCTACTGTAGAGGCAGAGAGCTGGAGAATTGCATTTTGAGGCCATTCAGGGCAAAAAGTTTTCAAGACCCCATCTCAACCAATAAAAAGCCAGGCACTAGTGGCTTGTGTCTATAATCTTGGGGGGCTGAGATCAGGAGGATTGCAGTTGGAGTCCAGCCCGAACAAACAGTTCCCAAGACCCCATCTCCAAAATAACCAGAGCAAAATGAACTGGAGGTTTTGTTCAAACGATGGTGTGAAGCTGAGTTCAAACCCCAGTCCCACCAAAAAAAATAAAATAAACCTAGGTGTTAGTGGCTTGTACCAGTCATCCCAGCACCAGGAGGTGGAGTCAGGAGGATTGCAAGTTCTAGGTCATCCTGAGCTACATAGCAAGTTGTAGACCAGCCTGTCTCCAGAAAAACAAGTTTCCAGGCATTGCCCATCGTTACCTGGAGGGCAAAATTGCTTTCAGTTGAGAAATTCTGTAGTATTGTTACTGGAGTGTTACTTACCTTTAAATTAAAAAATTTTATCCTGCTAACTTTGTTTTCTGTTTTTATTACATCCCAGCAAGTCCTCAGTGTCTCACATGAGCTAATCCAAGCCATGTACTCATCACAGTATAAGAAGTTGTACTATTGCTGGTGGAGCGGCTCAAGTGGTAGAGCGCCTGCCTAGCAAGCGTGAGGCCCTGAGTTCAAACTCCAGTATTACAAAAAGGTAGAAATGGAGGATCTGGTCTTTGATATGAGAAGGAACAGTTCCCCATGTGATAAGTCAAAGGAAAAGGAAGGCAGAGAGGATTGTAGATTTTGTAAAAAAAAAAAAAAAAAAAGTTGTACTATTGTTGCTATTTTATTAAAAAAATCATTTATACCTTTAAAAAATATTTTTTACAATACTGGTTTTTGAACTCAAGGCCTCTGCTTGCTAGGCAAGCCCTCTACCACTTGAGTCTCTCCTCCAGCCCTTTTTGCTTTAGTTGCTTTTCAGATAGGGTCTTGAGGTAGGCCTCAGACCCTGTCCTCCTGTGTAGTTGGGATTCCAGACGTGTGCCACTACACCCACTTATTCCTTGAGGTAGGGTCTCCCTAACTTTTCACCTGAGTTGGTCTCAACACTATTTATATCCACCTCCCAAGTAGCTGGGATTACAGCAGTGAGGCACCATACCTGGCAGTCTTTATGTCTTCTGATGTCCAGAAGATGCTAATCAGGTTTACTGAGCTGTAAATTATATACAGTTTTTCTGTATCACGAATAAAGCTTCTATGGCTATGTGTGTGGAAGTCTATCTATAGACTTGTTTTCATTTCTTTGGGGAAATTTCTCTTGGATTATAAGGTATGTTTAAGTGTAACTCCTGGAGAAATACCAAGCTGATTGACAAAGTATGCCATTGTACATTCCCTCTAGTACTGAATGCAGGTCCAGCTGCTCCTTGCCACCATCAGCAAGCTTAGCCAATCTAGAGGAAAGGTGACAAGGTGTCACTTTAGCGCTAGCTGCAGTTACATGTCCTCGAAGTCTAGTGAAAATGGGCATTTTTACATCTGTCAAGTGTCCAAATCGTTCAGCCATTTTTAGGTTTGTTTGCTTTTTTCCTTACTGAGTTGTAAACCTTTAGAAACCACTTTTCAGATGCTAGTGCTTGCTTGGGTGGAGTATTGCAAGTAAGTTTTCTCTGTCAGGAGCTTGTCTTTTCATCTTTTTTTCAGTACTGGGGCTTGACCTCAGGGCCTAGAACTTGAGCCACTCCACCAGCACTATTTTTGTGAAGGGTTCTTTGAGATTAGGGTCTTGCAAACTATTTGCCTTGGGCTGGTTTCGAACCTTGATCTTCCTAATCTCTGCCTGAGTAGCTGGGATTACAGTCATGAGCCACTCATCCAGTCCTCGTTTCATCTTCCTGATGGTTTATTTATGCTCACAGAAGTTTAAAGTGCTGATGAAACCTACTTCTCAGATTTTTCCCCTTCCAGGTCATGCTCTTTGTGCCCTACCTAAGAAATCTGATGCCACAGTCACTAAAGTTTTCATTTGTTACTTTCCTTCCAGAAGTTTTAGAAGTTTTAGCTTTTACATCTAGGTCTATGATCCATTTCAAATAAGTTTTTGTATCTGTGTGAAGTGAGAATAAACATCGATTATTATTTTTTGCACATGATATCCAGTTCCTTATTTTCTTTACACGTTTGTTGAAAGTAGTCTCATACTTATGTGTGATAGTTTCTGGCCTCTGTCCTGTTGGATTCATTGGTTGAAAATCATCTGACTGTGTAGGTGAGTCTGTGGTCCTGAATTCCGTTTTCTTCCATTGATCAGAATGGTGTTTACACCTTCCTGCTGTGATCATTATTTTTGTGTATCCTAAGTCTTGAAGTTAGGTACTTTAATTCCTCTGCTGTCCTCACTTGCAAAATTGTTTTGGCTTTTCTACATTTTTTCCCTAGTCATTTAGCATAATCTCATTAATTTGTACCCAGCCGAAGCCAGACAGAATTTTTGTGGGAATGTCACTGGGTCTATGAAAACACTTGCTAGCTGTCATTAGCCTAAGAATGTTTGTTCTTGTTCAAAACCCAGAGCTTTGTCATTATTTGTTGCTGACTTTTGCAAAGTGATTTTTCTCTGGTTTTTGAGATGACAATGTGATATATGTTATTACTAGATTTCCGGGTGTCAAGCCATCCTTGCATTTTGAGAGTGAACTTTAACCATTAGTGGTTCGTGTTTACTTTCAACTTGTTGAATGAGATTTTAGGATAGTTTGGCTCAGTAGCTCAGGAAATCAAGATGGTAAAGATGAGAGAGGTTTATAAGTAGTACTGATTTTAATTTCACGTGGTGAACTAATGTCTTATTAACTAGCAAATTTAGGATGAAGATTATGTCTGTGTAAGGTGTGTTATTTTCATTTGAGATGAATTGTTGAAAAGAATTAATTAATTTATTTTTCAGATCTGTGGATTGAACCCCAGGCTGTCATGCTTGCTAGACAATCATTCTAATAGTGGAGGTATGTCCTCAGGCCTTTGTTTTTGAGGTAGGGTTCGCTAACTTTGCCTGGGCTTCATCAAACTTGCAATCCTCCTGCCTCCATCTCTGGATCAACTGGGACTACAGGTGTGAGCCACCATGCAGGGATAATACATTTACTTTTGAATAGTTGATACAATCACGTTTCATAATTTAAATGTAGAAAAGAGTTTAGAGTGGTTTCTCTTCATTCCTGTCCTAACACCTACCAAAAACAATGTTACCAGACTGGCAGTGTGGCTCAAACAGTAGAGCACCTGCCTAGCAAGGACAAGGCCCTGAGTTCAAATCCCAGTACCACCAAAAAAACCCAAATGTTACCAACTTCTTTGTATCTTTCTGAAGATTCTGCATATATAAGGAAATATATTTGTTTTTTTTCTTTCTCTCTCTCTCTCTTTTTTTTTTTTTGTGGTA